TGGAACACTGCTATCATGTCCCCCCTCGTCCTTCTCTTCGTTAAACTAGACATACCCAATTCCAGCAACCGTTCCTTATATGTTTCAGCCTCCAGTCCCTTAATCATCTTTGTTGCTCTTCTCTGTACTCTTTCTAGAGCAGTGTTTCTCACCCTTGACAATTTTAAGGCATGTGGACTTCAACTCCCAGAATTCCACAGCCAGCATTGCTGGCTGTGGAATTCTGGGAGTTGAAGTCCACATGCCTTAAAATTGTCAAGGGTGAGAAACACTGTTCTAGAGTCTCAACATCTTTTTTACATCGTGGTGACCAAAACTGGATGCTTCTGTCCAGGAAACATCCACTCAAATCGTTAACAAGACCTGACAACACTATCGCTCCACCCGTTCCCGCTGCGCTTACATTGCGAACACCGAATTCGCCCAGAACCACGCGAGTCCGCATCTCTTCCACGCTCCCGGCTGCTGCCATCCTTCTGCAAACGCGTGCCTGGGCAGCCAAGCCCAACGCGCAAGAGCCAACGTCTTACCATCGAGCAGGAAAACCTCCCATCTCACGTGGATACTCGAGTTCCGGTTGTGCGTCTTCTCCCACAGAACGGAAGCTGGCGGCGGTGCGCCGCCATGTTGTGCGTGGCGTTTTCTAAAGATGCACTTTTGCGGCGGCGGGCTTTAGAGTTACGCGTAGAGATGACATTTCGGCCGCGTGCATGAGAGGCCTTGGGGATTTCCCCGCTTTTCGGTTTCTCCGTCGTTATCCGTCCCTTCAAGCGCCTCCTATTTCGTCCGGTGTGTTTGGAACTACCAAGATGGCAGCTTAGTCAGGCCAGCTCCTAAGAAATCTCGCGAGAACACCTGAGTCTCCACGTCCCCCGTGCGGCTCCTTACCTCCCGAGTGGGTTTGCTTTGGCTTTGCTCCATCCGGGCACTTTCCGCCTCGCTTCGGTCGGGTCCCCGGGCCCCGGCTCTTCCGTTAGCGAGGCGGGGGCGTCTGTGCCTCCGCAGCCGCTGCTGGGGAAATGTCCGACCTCGGGGCAACCGCGGGCGCTGGGGGAGCGAGGAGTGGGGCTACAACGGCGACTGCGGAGTGGGGAGCCTTCGAAGACAACATGCAGGTAAGGGGATTGGATCGGGTAGATACTTTCCCGTCTGTCCCTTCTTGGAATCCATGTGCCGAATTCGAATTCGGCTCTCTTCCTCGGAGCCGCCGTCGCCCGCTTCCTGGGCTGCTTTGGGAAACACCTATACGGGTAGTCCTCGACTTACGACCACACTTGAGCCGAAAACTAATGGGCGAAACACTTGTGGAGTGAGTTTTGTCCCGTTTTGCGACCTTTCTTGCTCCAGTTGTTAAGCGAATCACGGCAGTTCTTAAGTTAGCTATGTGGTTGTTAAGTGGATCCGGCTTCCCCATTGACTTTGTCCCCCTTGTCAGAAGGTCTCAAAAGCTAATCATCACACACACACACACACACACACACACACACACACACACACACACACACACACACTGCAACCGTCAGAAATACGAGTCAGTTGTCAAGTGTCCGAATTTTGATCACGTGACCATGGGGATGCTGCAAAGGTGGTGTGATAAATGGTCACAAGTTACTTTTTTCAATGCCGTTGTAACTTTGAACGGTCGCTAACTGAACTGTTGTAAGTTGAGGACTGCTGTATTATATTGTACACCACCCAGATTCTCCGACCCCCCACCCCCCCCCCCGGTGAGGGAGAAGGGCAGCTAAGAAACATGAAATAAAAATAAATAAAAAAGACTAACAAGGCTGGAAGTGTGCCTGTGTTGTCTGTGGGGCGCAGGAGAAGCGCCTGACACTCCAGACATCTGTCTTGAAACTCAAGCACAGTGTGTTGTGAGGGAGTCTATAAAAAGAGTCCCTGCACTTTGTGCGAACGAGCAGAAATTGTGAACGGTTCACAGCAAAATAAATACAAGGGAAAGGTCCCAAAGGTGGTTTGTGGAGGAAGAGGCTGGATTCCAGACACAGATATCCAATCTGTCAAGTTGCTGTTTAGCTTTTTTGCAAGCGCCTTGCGAAAGCTTAGTTCCTGGTTTCCAGGTAGAATTGGACAACTATGCGGCTGAAAAGATATTCACAACATTAGATTTAAGCTTGTGCTTGGTTTGGTTATTGTACTAATAAAAGACAGCAATACACATTCCATTGCTGTTCTGTGCGGGCCATTTGTTTGCCAAACTTACTGAACATTTGGCAGTTTTCAGAGGGAAGAGCCCAACCTGCTTGTTATCGGCCTTTCTGCCAGTCCAACCAGGCTCTTGAAACATTTCTGTCATCCATTTCTGTTGCCTTTGCTACACTCATAGTTGCACAAGACTCAAAAATTTACCCATAATGTTGAATGCATTAGAGCAGTGTTTCTTAAAGTGTAACTCCAGGACCCTCTGAGGGATCTGCGAAATCAAAATTATTTGCCAGATCTTGAAGATATTTGCAAATATTTAAAACAAGCTCACTCTTATTACCATTTTTGTTTGTCAAAAAAGTTTTTTCATCAAAAATATTAACGACAAACGAGTTTAATATTGTTATTTGTACATGATTCATACACAAATGTTCTGCATATGGATCAGTTTTAATTTTTAATAAGTAAATATAACACGTACTGACAAAAGTTCTTTTGGGGTTCTCCATAATTTTTAAAAGTGGAAAGAGGCGACAAGAGCAAAAAAATTAAGAAACATTATTACACAGTAAAATGCAGCAAGGGTATGGACAAAAGCAAAAAAAGTTTGCAAGGATAGAAAAGTATAAAATGGTCAAACAGTAAATGGAATTGATGTAAACTAAATTTTAGGTTTTTTTGTGTTTTTTTTTTACCTTGCCCCTTAGATCTTTGATTACTATTTCTTTGTTTTTTCCTGGATTTTGCATAAGTTTTCTTTTTTTACAGTATGCAATTGCTCCCTATCGTGCCCTGTTATAGAAAACATTTAATATTCAGTGGTAGCTATTGGTTAAACACAGATGTTTCTATTTAACAGATTGTCCATCAGTCTATACTGTATAAAACAACAGCTTTAATTATAGTTCCCCAAAGGGCCTTCTCTGTGGGTGCCCCCACCCTCTGGAACGAACTACCCCCCGAGATCCGGACGATTCCGGACCTCCTACCTTTTCGCCGCGCCCTCAAGACATGGCTTTTTCAACAAGCGGGTCTGGCCTAGGGAGAATTTTTAAATAGGGACAATTTTAATTCAAATCTTAATTAATTATACAGCGAAAAAAAAAAAATATTTGGTTTTTAATAGGTTTTTATGGGGGGACGATGTTTTATGTGTTTTAATATGCTGTAAGCCGCCCTGAGTCCTATAGGGAGAAGGGCAGCATATAAATCCATGTAAATAAATAAATAAATAAATAAATAATAAATATTAATGTTTATTCTGTATTTAATTTAGTAATAAAGTGTCTTGCCCAGCATTCTTTGCTAATAGTGTAGTAACTTGCCTCAATGTTGTGATAGAGACATGGAGAGTAAGCAAGAAGAGCAGTATATTTAAGACAGGGCAGTTTATGATACAATACGTTACAAGTAGTCCTTGTTTTTATGAGCATTCGTTCAACAATCACTCAAAGTTATGACAGCACTGAAAGAAAGAACTGCTGTCATGTGATCAAAATTTGGGCACTTTTTAAAATATTTTTTTATAAATAATTCAAGGTAGTGGACATACCTGATACTCTTTTCTCCTCCTGTTTTCCCTACAACAAAAAACCTAATGGGTGAGTAAGGCTGACAGGGAGTGACTGGTCCAAAGTCTCCCAACCAGCTTTAATGCCTAAGGCAAAACTAAAATTAGGAACTCTTGGTTTCTATTCTTGTGCTTTAACCACTAAATTAAACTGTATATTTACAGTATACTGCCATTGTACTGTACTAATCAACAGAAAAGCAGTGCATGCTTTTAAAAAGGGAATATAGGAATACGTTTCTGAGTAGAACAGTAGTAGCATTTTTCATTTTATTGTTGATTTTGCAAATGGAGCAATTTACCCCTAAACCAATTTAGGTTTTCTTTCAGCTTAAGGTAAATACTATGTCTAAAGATACATGTTCAATATATAGCTTTGGGCTGCAGGAAACTGGGCAGCTGCCAGATAGAGGCAAAAAGTTAGCATGTTCTGTATATCTCCTTGATGGCCTTTAGTAATTGTCTGGATTTTTGCAGTCCAGATATAGTAACCCTATCAACCGCCTCTTTTTTTTTTACTTTTCAGTTAACAGCTCTATTTTTCTGTCATGTGGTTTTTACCTTTCATTCTCGGGACATATTTTCAGAGTGCTTTGTGTGATTTCAGTTTAACCAAACATAAAAACAGGAAAAGAATGAGCATATATAAAGGCAAGCATTGCAGGGCAACAGAGCCTCATTTGCTGAAGGGAGCCCACTGGGCCCAGCTGAGGAAGAGGCAGTTGAAATATTTTTAAGGAGTACAAAAAATGAAGGTTCTAAGGCCTAGGTAGGTAGGAAAACAGAAATACAGTTTGTTTAATCTTTTAAAAAGGATCAAAAGTGTAGACCAGGCAAAAGATCCCAAATGTGTGGAATATCTGAAAAAGGCTTTTTCTCTAGGCCAGGGGTAGTCAACCTTGGCTCTTTTATGACTCGTGGACTTCAACTCCCAGAATTCCTGAGCCAGCACAGCTGGCTCAGGAATTCTGGGAGTTGAAGTCCACGAGTCATAAAAGAGCCAAGGTTGACTACCCCTGCTCTAGGCCCTGGCAAGTCTACGAAATAACAATTTATGTGTGTTTCCTTTCAGGTAGATAGAACTCAGAATTTCTTCAATATCTACTGCCCAGGCCATCATAGAGACTTAAAAATAAGCATACTACTTTGAGTTTAGCTCAGAAACAGACCAGACCTGGCCTAATGAAATGCTATAACAATGATATTATAGGAATGATATAATTCCTAGGATCCCATCCCCAGCGGGCCATAGCCTCATAGCTTTGTTCCATATCACCTGCAATTTCTAAGCCAGACCCTTGTAAGATACTTTGTGGTCCGGTTCAGGAGTTTCTTGAGCTGTGTAGCAATGTTGTCTCTGACCTTAGACTTTTCTTTAGCCTGTTACATTTTTATATTGAAATAGTTTCCAAGGTTACTTAGTGATGTTGAAAACAGCACTTTTATCAATACTTATTCTTGCACCTATAAATGGAGCTTTTCTTCATGAATCCCAGTAATAATCTCTAATTATTTCCTGGTATTAAATTTACTCAGCATGTATGGAAGAATATAGCAAATAGTGACAAATAGGGTTTTTCCTACTCTTTGAGTAGTCTTCATTAGCTGCTTACATTAATATGAAATCCGAAGCTGGGAGTAATT